CACAGAGACCTAAGTAAAGTGAGGCGAGAAACCCTGTCCAAACAAATAAGTCAACAGACTCTAAGATGCACAGAGACTAAGATCATTCCAAAGGTGAGGAGCAACTGCCGGGAATGATCTGTCTCCTCTGGTTTTAAAACGAGTGTGGGGGACCATCAACAAGTGGCCAAGGGTGGATCAGGCCCTGGGTGTATTCAGGCACCTGACCATGAAGAGCTCTGAAAGTCAACACCAGGATTTTAAAATTGATTCTGTGTGAGACAGAGAGCCAGTGTAAGGACTTCAAGATAGGAGTAATGTGGGCTCTCCTGTGGGTGCGGGTCAAAAGCTTCGCAGCAGAATTTTTAACAATTTGCAAACAAGCTAGATCTTTCTTTTACATGTACCCATGTCTCCTGACCCAAGACCATATGTCTTAGCTTGGAGCAATTGGAAGCTACAAAAAATACATTCGGTACAAGAAGGCAATACATGATGTTTACTTCCAATGAAAGCAGGAAAGAAGGCAAAATTCGATGACAAATTATGCCACAAACCAAGCAAAGTTGAACACCAGGTAATTTGAAGTGAATTCTTGCTCACTCATCTGAACAACCAACTCCGCTCTCAATCAAAGACATGTCATTTATCATCACAGGCCTTCACTGGCAGCACGGCTCATTACTAAAGATGTCCATTTAGACGTGGTGTTTATTATCCAAACGCACAAAAAGTTAGAATCATGTGAGCTTGGGTCTTGTGCTGTTAAAGTTGAATCTAAAGTGTGAACAAAAGTAACCAGACTGCTTTTCATACAGAGCCTGCTAATTACAACACAAGAAGGCAATGTCCCGAAGTCTGGATGCAAATCAATAATATGAGTCTGGCACCCCCTGCTGGTCACAAACTTTACTGTTTCATTTACATTTCCCCCAAAAAAAGATGTGATTCCAGATCTAAAGCTATCCTGGAGCCACCAGTAGCTCGCCACAGGATTTAGAAATTAACAAATCAAATGTACTGAACATTTCTGAATGTTTTATTCATTATTATTATTGATCATACTTTGTTCACAGGTAATGAATATGCAATGATAATAATAATGCATTAGTTTTACAAAGCGCCTTACAGGACACTCAAAGACGCTTCTTATGTCATTATTCCTTCACTCTATACACTCTGGTGATAAACTACTATACTGTAGCCATAGCTGCCCTGGGGCACACTGACAGAAGCGAGGCAACCAGTCTGAGCCATCGGCCCCTCCTACCACCACAAACCATTCACACACACACCAGACTCGTTTTAGGCAATGTGGGTTAAGTATCCTGCCTTATGGGCGACAGTAGCTCAGTTGGTAGAGCATTTTGAGCCAGAGAGTTGTGGGTTTGAGCTCGACCTTCACCATTGATTCCCACTGATGTCTGCTGTCATTGTGTCCTTGGCAAGACTCTTCACCCCCATTGCCTAGAATGAGTCTGGTGTGTGTGTGTGTGAATGGTTGGCGGTGGTCGGAGGGGCTGATGGCACATACTGGTTGCCTTGCTTCTGTATGCCCCAGGGCAGCTGTGGCTATAGTAGTAGTTTATCACCACTGTGTATGGAGTGAATGAATAATGACATGTAAAGCATCTTTGAGTGTCCAAAAAAGCGCTTTATAAAACCGATGCATTAAGGACACAACCACAGTTTGGCACTTCACAGATGCAGCCGCCCCACTGTGGCACCTGTTCTGAAAGTAGTTGTCTGGGTGATACAGGTTGGATACACCTGTTCTACAAGAATGCAAAGTGAAGCCGTGAGAATGCAGGAGGACATTTTTTGAGTATTGCATAAATCAGTTTAAACTTGCAGTGGGTAGAAGAAAAATCGGAAAAAAATATTTTTCAAAAAGTGGCTAAATGTACTCTTTAAAAAGCAACCTGTATTGACAAAAACAATATTGTAAATAATGTGTGCCAAAAATCTTAATGACGAATACAATTAAGTCATTGTCCATCAGTTGTGAAGTAGGATAACTTTAGAGTTGACAGTAGCCACAAAAGACAGCATTGTGGTTCTTTTTTCACTTGACAAAATAGGATATTGCAAGGGCCTCCAACCTATAGCTCAGGGGCTATCAGTAGCTCGCCGCCCTCTGCAAAATAGCTCCCCAAAGGATAATTTTATGAGCAAATATATAAATTACTATGATGTTTTATGGGAATCACACTACACACAAAAAAATCAAAAGTACAATTTTGCATTTCCCAAACATTTTGACTGTCTTCAAACAATATTTACAACAACAAAAAACATGTAATACATTTGCTATATTGTGCTGGAAATAAAACTAAAGCTTTTGTTCCATTGTTTTAAGAGATCAAGAAAAAAATCAACATATTCCTTTGTAGCACAACATTTTGTTGACTGTCTTAAAGGAGTAGCTCTCTGCCAGTGTTGTCATGAAAAAGTGGCTCTTGAAGGGAAAAGGTTGGAGACTTGGGTATTGCAAGTAGATTATGGAATAAATCTGCAGCATTGCAACATTTAGAAAAAGTGTAGGAGCTTGAATACTTCCTGGATGCATTGTTGACCTATAAAGATTGCCCCTATCACATTCCCATCACACAAAAGAGTTCTCACTTTACCTGAAAACCGGATTTTCAAGAAATCAAAAGACGTTGTTGAGCAAGATTTTATTTTGAATAATAACTCTAAACTAAAATGCAATAAGATTTCAAAATTTAGCATAATAAAGAAGCAAGTATAAAAGAAAAAGAGCAGAGTTTGTGGCAGTAAAGTGTGGATTTATAGAAAACCGAAGGATTTAACAAGAAAAAAAGTTTGGTAAGACAAGGGACACTAAAATCCCCACAAAATCCGACCTTTATGAAAGCTGTAGCTTCTCTGTCAGGTTCTCTGTCAGGTTCTCTGTCAGGTTCTCTGTCAGGTTCTCTGTCAGGTTCTCTGTCAGGTTCTCTGTCAGGTTCTCTGTCAGGTTCTCTGTCAGGTTCTCTGTCAGGTTCTCTGTCAGGTTCTCTGTCAGGTTCTCTGTCAGGTTCTCTGTCAGGTTCTCTGTCAGGTTCTCTGTCAGATTCTCTGTCAGGTTCTCTGTCAGGTTCTCTGTCAGGTTCTCTGTCAGGTTCTCTGTCAGGTTTCTGAGGTCGAGTTGTTTTAGTTTACATTGAGTTACATGGGACTTTTTTCTGTCCATAACAGATTTTTCAAGAGTAATTAAAATTTTTAAAGTGAAGTGATATCCTGATGTTGTGTTCATGTTAATCTTGTGAGAGTTCATCTGCCACTTTTGTGTAACTGGCGTCACAGTAGAATCTGGTTGTTTGAAATGTATCCACAATATCTCTTCGATATGTCTGTGTTTGAAAAATGATTTCCAAACAATTATAGTTAGTTAATTTACTTTACAGTGAACACACCCTTATACACACACACTCAGATTAATTTGTGTGTTTTGGGAGCAGGATGTTGGAGGCGTGTTCACGTGTTATTTTAACTGGACCAATTCTGGTTTCTTTCAAGTAGATTAAACAAACAAGTAGAAAAGTTTAAAGACAGACAATCCATGGTCTTCTACTTTCAGTCTAGTTAGTCCAGTTTCTCAGTTGGGAATCTTTTGGCTGATGCAAGAATGCCAAGTTTACATCCAGATCCTCGCTCCTCATTGCTCCCAAAACTAGGGCTGAGGCGACCAGAGAAGATCTTGGTGGACTGAACTAATGAATATTTCACATGAACATTAAGGGTTCATAGGAAAGAACCATCCTCTCCACTTTTTGAACAAAACTCTCTGGTCTTATTTGACAAGCACGTATCACCAGAATGATTGACAATTGGGAGGACTAATAGTCTTGATGATCCACCTGGAAGTAGAAAATCCTCCTATATACCTTTAACAGTCAACTAATATACAATTTGTAAACTGAAGTGGTGGTCCGACACACTACATCTTCCACAGGAATTGAAATTTTAACATTTGTTTGTTTGTTGTTGTAAAATAATAGTGTACGAGTCAGGTTTATGCAGGGGCAAGCCCGCTCACTGTTTCTACAAACCTACTTCTTTTTGGTGCAATCTAAAACATACACAACTTCTCTGAAAAAGTTACAAGACGAGCTTTAAGTTAAAAGATATGCAAAATAATCTTTCTAAAAGGTTATTCCTTTTTTTTTGACAGTAACTATAATAGAACTTCTGGGATTCATTTCAAGTTTGTATGATGGAAACATAACATCAAATCCAATATGGAGTAAGGATGCAAGAAAACCAAAATAATATCTTTCATATATCATGTTTGTCATCTAGCTCTACACCAGGGATGTCAAAGTCAAATACATCAGAGACCAAGAAAAAAAAAATGGCTACAAGTGGTTCAATATTTATTAAAATGACTGATTAAAACCTGTTGAAACAAGAAAATTAATAATCTAATATTTGTGTATGGCTCTGTCATTCAAGACTCAAAAACAAACTTCCTTCAAAGAAAAAACACATGTCCTGAACATTAAATGAATAATCCAGTATTTTCTTACGGCTCTGTGCGGCCGGTTCTAATATCAAATATCATCCCGGGGCCCAAGATCATCCATTTGCGGGCATCAGTTGGCCCCTGGGCTTTGACTTTGACAACCATGTTCTAAACCCTTGCTCCAAATTGACCTCAATGAGATTTCACAATACAAAACATCCATTAAAACAAAACAAAAATGAGTTTATATCTATATTTGTTAAATTTGTCATCTAACTGTGCATGTCTGTATCGCAAATATACATCTTTATTCTTCATTTGCAGGTGTGTTGTGTACTCAGAGGCAAACCTTCATAGGACACGACTTTGTGTGATCTAAATAGAACCTAAATAAGAAAACAAGAAACACTATTGCTTTGTGCAAGACTCCAAGACACAAATGGGTGATGAATTCTGTCCTAAATTCTGATTTTAAACCAACTTTACATGCAGAAAACCATGCATGGTTGAATAAAAGCCACTCCAGGATGTGAGTGTGTGCCGCCGGTGTTACCTGTCCAGTGATGCCCGTGATGAGAGCCACCTTTCGCGGCTTGTTCTCTTGTCCATTCCATGCGAGGCCGGGAGCAGCAGCGTGTGAGGATAAGTCCATTGTCTACGTGAGTAAAAGTCCCAGTTTAAAGACGAGGAAACAAATGAAACCCTCTGGTGTTTACAGTGACTTGACAGAGAAACTACAGAAGCAGCAGCATCCGCGACCAGCAGCCTCCACCAATCAGAGACGACTACGTCACAGGAACTGGTACGTGGGCCAATCACAGCAGCCCCGGTCTGACAGATGGAGCCGTGTCTGCGCCAGCGCCCCTAGCGGCCACAGAGAGAGCAGCTACACCTTTTGGAGGATAACCATGGATCTATTATATTAACGAGGATAACTCACCGATTATTCCATTTGAAGAGGAGAAATAAATGAAACCATCTGGTGTTAACAGTGACTGACAGAGAAAGTACAGCAGAAGCAGCATCCGCGATCGTTTCTAGCTTGGTCTTGCCACACAATCATAAAAAAGCAACGCGCTAGTGAAACTCTTTTTGTGTCAAATCGAGTAAACATTGCAAGCTGTCATGAAAAATCTGATGTTTAAGTTTTATATGTCACCTGAATGATTCAAATGCTGTGATTATTTTATTTTTCAGTGTTGTGTACATCTCGCTGGTGTTGACACATTTATATGACTGTCTCTTGAAAATGTAGAGGTTTGATCGTGGTTTTTGTTTCTTGACTGTGTCTGTGTTGATCTGGACCTGGAGTCTGCAATAAAGTTATATATCTATCTAATTTCATTTCGTCGGAGAATTAATAATTAACCAGAGTTTACGGATTGCTAAGGCCAGGGGAATATGTTCCTGCTCCTATACATAGTTCCTACATGACGTCACTACATACGGGGATTTGCCGACCCGGCGCCATTTGTGTTGGCATGCTGTGGGCAAAACAATAGAAAAAGAAGCTGAAACGTGTTAATGTCGTGATAAAGTTGAAAATGGTCATCTCCTGCTGGGTCAATGGATGTTCAAATCGTGCCGGAGGTTCCGTTAAACTTGGATTTTACAGTATACCCATCATTAGACTTCATGAATGTGAGAAGACTAAGCTTTTGTCAGAACAACCACGGAGGTTATGGCTTGCGAAGATAAACAGGCAAGAAACTCCCTCAAAACACGCAAGAATATGCTCGGAGCACTTTGTGTCAGGTGCGTATCGTATCTCATAATGTGTTGACAGACGTAATTTACTCAGTACTAACTTGTGTATGCTGATATCTGGTAACTTGAGAGTTTCATTATTTAGATTACTTTATTATGAGGAGGATCGGTGTCGCGTCCAAGGTTCTCGAGGGCAACGTAAATGTATTAAATAGATAATACTAGTTCTATGGTGGGCTAAAACAATGTTCACAAACAGCATTGCTTCTGTAAAAAGATCTGTGTCATAAAATAAACTGCTCTTTACGCCTGGAAAAATCAGTTGCCCACCATTCACCAAAACATACGGTCAAAAACGCGGAAATAAACAATAACAGCAATCCAGAGTGTCCGTGTGGCATTAGCATTAATTAAATTAATTGTTAATATAATTAAAATAATTAAATGGAGCTCCAACTGGTATTAAATCTAAAGTTTTTGAGAAATGTTTGCATTGCTTGTTAATTTTTGCTGCATAATTTGATCAAATATGTAAAACATGTCCGTAGCACGTTAAACTGTGGTGCCATTGTATTAATATACAATTATTTGCTCAAAAGTTGCCCTTTTTTTCCAATTTGCGTTTGAATATCTACATTTATTCTCATTCTTCTGTTTAATGGAATGCACAAACACAGCAGCGTGCCATCAAAGATGGCGTCTCCGAGGAGGTCATGTGACATTCATTGGTCTGTGGGAACTATGTATTGATTTACTTTTAACATATGTTTCCAGCATTGCTTTTGAGATTCATATTAGCTAAAATGGTGTTGAATATTGCTTTCCTTCGCTGATACTCTGATTGAAAACTGGGACAATTTGAGAAAGTTGGTGGAATATAGTGGGATAGACATGTTTGGCTGGTGTAGAATATACTGCCATAAAACCACGTGACTGGCTAATTCCTTAAAAGACATTTAGAACAAAAGTTAAAAAGTTAAAACAAAGATACCGAAACATTGGTGTTGTGTAGTTTTTATTTCAATATTCTACAATTGTGTGTTGTTTAAATAAAACTGAAACGTTACATTACATTTCTTAAAGATTTTTTTTGAACATGGTGGTTACATTACATCTCACACAGTGATGTTTACAGAAGGTTTGAACACAAACAGATCAGTGCTCAGTGAGAAAAGTTCGAACCTGCTGAAGAAAACCTTTGTAGTTCAAGTACAGTCTGGTTCCAAACCAGTAAATGAATGAACATCTATCTCTACTGCAATAAGAAACAAAGACACATGTGTAGGTAGTTCTAAGTTGTTCGTATGCCTTCATGGAAGGTGAAATCACTGCTCCAAACTGCCAGGTGCACTTAGGGCACACATGGCGACAATGGAAAACAAAAGTCAATGATGGGGTTATTGTAGAAGTAGAAACACATCAACATAAATATTATTAACATTATGATTTACTGGTGAACAGGGTGTCAGAGTGAATAAAGAGGATGCTAGTGTCAGAGGGTCTCCTTATTTAGGGAAGGAGGTGTGTGTTATATACAAATAAATTAATTAACAGGTTACTAAAACATTTCTATTGCAAAAACAATTACAATGTATAAGACTTGACAAGAAATAAAGAAATCAAAAGAGATTATTCACAAATAGATTCAGTCTTAACTTATTTGAGCGTGAAGTCAAAAAGTGCAATAAATGCAATGATGAGGTGTCGGTTTAAAGCAGACAATTATGTTTTGACTGAAATGAGCGTTTATTGTTTCAGATCCAGTGTTTTGTCTCTAATATGTGACATCACTGAGCCAAAAGTGTATTGTATTCAGTGTTGTGCTGCCGGCCAGAACTACAGAGCTGAACACTAGACTGCAGAGCACAGAGGAGGTTCCAGTAGCACACGGGTAAAGCAGCGTTGGTCCAGTATTAGGCCTTGTGGCCCAGATTGTGAAAAACATGCAGAGGTCTTCATCGTGGTTCTATGTGGAAGAGAAAACATAGAAAATGCCTTAGGTTAAACAGGATCAAGAGTCGTGTCATTTATTTCTAACCTAGCTTTAACCAGTTTATCTTTTTCAGACTCTCATTCTCCTAGCCCCACATGTAGGCTAGGAGCCCCACATGTAGGCTAGGAGCCCCACATGTAGGCTAGGAGCCCCACGTGTAGGGTAGGAGCCCCACATGTAGGCTAGGAGCCCCACGTGTAGGCTAGACCAGGAGCAAGTGTATATTTTTGAGCTACCCTGGTATGTTTTTCCTTATTTCAAAATACACGTTGTAGAGAAAACAAACAAATCTATAGATTGAACTCAAAATCCAATTAGAAATAGTTTATAATTTTTTGGCCTATAACAATCCAATATGCAAACTTCAAACTCTATCACCAGGAAATAAGTATTTTTATTGGCCTCTGACTAAAATCAGTTCCACTTCCTGCAATAGATGATTGATTTTGAAAACTCACCATCTACATCTAGCTCTCGGGTGGAGGCGCGTGTGTCGAGTGGCACTTTGTTTTCTATTGTATGAAAAAGAAGAAGAATGTTAAATGTTCACGGTGGCACATCTGAATGAGACTGCTGCTGGGGGCGTACCTTCTGGTCGAGTTTAAAGTGCAGATCAGGGTTGGAGAGCCAGGGATGTTTGAGGGACTCTGTGGCACTCATCCTCCAGCTCTTGCTTTTCACCAACAAACGAGTGATGAAGTCTTTGGCCTCGTCTGAGACATCTGTGAACTCCTCTTCCTCGAAGTTCCACTGACACGCCAAGATATTGTTCAGCGTCTCATTGTCATCGTCGCCCAAGAACGGAGATAAGCCACTGAGTCTGGAGGGATAAAGCGTAATGTACTTTCCACAGGACAGCAGACGAAGGCAGGACTGAGTAACTTGCTTTTGGCTGAACTTTTCCCTCGACTTAACTCAGGGATGTCAAAGTCAAACACATTAGAAGCCAAAAAAACATATTTGCTACAAGCCGAGGGTGAGACTGGTTCAATACATATTCAAAAATTTAAATGTTGCATAAAACCTATGGAACCAAGACCTAACCAAGGCCTAACACAATGGACTAATAATCCAATAATCCAATATATTTGTATGCCTCGTCAGTCATTTCAAGTTAAATCATTTTTCAACAGGCTCAAAAACAAGCTTCCTTCCAAGAGAAAACACATCCTGAACATTAAATGAATAATCCAATATTTCTGGCCCCCGGGCCTTGACTTTGACACCCATGTCTTAACTTATTTCAGTCAATGTTTACACGTAACTGGACACGGGCCAAGTGCACACTTCCCCTGCCGCACTGTATAAAACCCTTTTCCAGGCAATATGCTGTGACTATACCAGTTCTTCAGTTTAGAGGTGGATTCCATCTCCAGTCAGTTATTCTCGTTTTTATGAGCAACTTCTACAAATATCAAACACAAATGATCTGAGGTTTCTACTCACAGCATGTAGGTGATGACGCCGAGACTCCACATATCAGTCGGGAATGAAACAAACTCATAGTTAATGACTTCAGGCGCCAGAAACTCAGGGGTCCCAAAGTTCACCCTCAGCTTCTCTCTGGGCTTGTACCTGTCACAAATAGTACATTAGTATAAAATAATAATTAATAATAATAATAATAATAATAACACATTGGTTTTATACAGCACTTTTCTGGACACTCAAAGTAACTTCACATGTCATTGTTCTTTTCACTCTAAACACAGTGGTGATAAACTACTACTGTAGCCACAGCTGCCCTGGGGCACACTGACAGAGGAGAGGCAACCAGTCTGTGCCATCGGACCCTCCCACCACCACCAACCATTCAGACACACACCAGACTCATTCTAATGTGGGGGAAGTGTCTTGCCTAAGGACACAACCACAGTTTGGCACTTTACAGCCGCCCCACTGTAGCACCTGATGTTCTCAGAGGTCTCCCATCACAGTACTAACCAGGCCTCGCCCTGCTTAGTTTCAGAAGTCTGACAGTGTCTGGCTTTCACATGCAGCTATCGCCACTTAACTAATATAATTATAGGAAAAGCAGATATAAATCCATACCTTCGTGCGAGGCCAAAGTCAATGATTTTGATTTTGTTTGTGACTCTGCTAACACAAAGAATATTTTCTGGCTGAAAAAATAAAACAAAACAGACTTTTAGATGAAGATGTTGAGAAAGAAGAGTTGAAATTGAAGCCGTACCTTGAGGTCCAGGTGCAGAATGTACATCTTGTGCATGTGCTGCAGACCTTCACAGATCTGTCGGATGAACAGCACCGTGTCCAGTTCAGTGAGATTATAATTCTCATCGATGATTCTGTCAAACAGCTCTCCTCCTTCAACACTGGAGACGAGACACCGTTAATCCATGTCCTTATTCATTTATTTATTCATTTATTTATTCATTATTTTATTATTATTTACTTACTTATTACATACTTATTTATATATATTTTTTTTTACTTTTTTATTTACTTATTTATTTTCTATTATTTTTATGTATTTATTTACTTAAGATGAGATAAGATCAGATAGACTTTATTGATCTCACATTAGAGAAATTGACAATTGTATAAATCAAATATTTATTTAATTACTTACTTAATTATTATTATTATTATTTTATTTTTTTACTTACTAAGTTACTTTTTTATTGATGTTGATTTACGCATTTCTTTTTTTATTCCAATTGTGGACATGACAAAACATCACATATTACAATTACATTTCTAATAATTGTCGTCTTGTCGCACAAATAAGAAGCAGCAGAAAGAAGAAAAAACTCTTATGTCGCCCCTTTCTTAAAACATGTGATAAATAAAAAACAAGATGGACTTCAGCGTCTTCCTTCAAACTGTTTTTATGTTATGTTCTTTATTTGCTTTCAAAAACATTTGTTTTTTATTATTGAGTTATTTTCTCATTTTCTACTCATTCAATTCAAACAATTTCACTGTTGTTGCTTTAATTTTTGAAGATGAAAATAAATCATTTATCTTTTCCTTTTTCGAAAAAATGTTTTTGTCTTAACCATTTATTGTAAGATTTATTTCCCCACTGTGGGACGGATAAAGGATCTCTTAATCTTAATAAGGAGAAGCACTTACTACTCCATGACCAGGATGATGTCATGGCGGGACTCGAACGCAGCGTACAGCTGGATGAGATTAGCATGGTTGAGCTGGTTCATTACCTGGATCTCATTCCTCACCACTTCCTGTCAAAAAAAACAACCAAAAATGATAAAAACACAAGGGTCAAATGCGAAGGCCTCAGTGACTGTTCGGGCACAGATTGGAAAACCTTTCAGGCCACACCCACTCGTTTTCAGCAAAAGAAGTGCTGAAAAGAAGTGGGACATGGAGGTTCTGGTTTTCTCAGGTGAGGAAGCTGAGACGGAAGCTGATACTTTTGCTCATGAACTACTTTTTCAGCTGTGCTTATTGTGTAGAACTTTTTATGCAGGAGATTCTTTTAAATTATTTTAAAAAGATTAAGACATGTAATCATTTAGGAAAAATAAAAACATGTAAAAAGAGAAAATCCTGAATTAAATTATTTTAAGCTATTAAAAAACATGCAGTCTAAAACTATTTTTATATTCAGTTGTTTGAACAAATAATATTTTGTTGATGGAATTTGATAATTGCCTTTTGAATGAGATTGAATGAATAGTTTTATAACTTTCTCTTTCTAAAGTTGTGACTTAGAGTGTGACATAATGGTGTGTATTAGTCAGCCCCGGGCAGTTGTATATTCAGTGTTCAATGACGGCTTCATTACCTTCTCTTTTTGGCTTCTGGCTTTGATGATCTTTGCTGCCAACGTCAGACCAGAGGAATTCTCGGTGCACTTGTGCACTTGTCCAAAACGACCTCTAAAACAAACAATGTTTTATACAATTAAAATCATAACACGTACTCAGGAGCTCGACGGTTCCATCTGCAAACACATGATGTGGCCGAGCACGGGACCAACACTATTGACATAAGAGTTTGGGTTAAGGCCCAGTATCTAACATTTTCGACAAAAATAGATCCATTATTATTTATTATTTAGACTTTTATTAAGGACTCACATGCAACACAGGATCCATAGCTAAGAATAATGAAAGAAAAGTAAAAAAATAAAAATAAAAAGAACAGGTAAAAAACATATAAACATAAAAAAACTCTTTCTTTCTTTGTTACAAGTGACATGTAACTCGATTTAAACCACTCCTGGGGAAAAAACTGTTTTGTAAAGGGACAACTTTCCCATAGTGATATAGTGATAATAATTATCTCCTTCTGGCTACGATGAAATGAATACTGTTTGTGTGTCATTGTGTGAACCATTTGAGCAATGCACTTGCGTGCAGAGCTGTAATCTCACTTTGAGAGGCAGGATTTAGCCCTGCTCTGTTACATCAGAGCCATTTCAGGACGAGAGGGAGGTCTTTAAAAATAATTGATAAGTTCATTCATGTAAAACAAAGGAATGGAAAATATTCAACAGTTTGTGTACTCACCCCCCGAGCACCTCCTCTCTGTTGATTGTGTAGTAAGTGGCAATTTGGTGTGGCTTCGGTGTCACAATGCGGTGGTCAAAAGGAGCTGATGGGGGTGGACTAAAATCTGTCAGAAATACAGTAGAATACGATAAATAAAGATGAAAATCAATGACTTAACTTGAGCAATGAACTTCTTCCCCAGAAACAAGGAGGATAAAAATATCGCGATGCTGGTGCTTCATAATGTGCCAGCTGTGACATGTTAGCGACGCTCTGGCAGACATGTTTTGACATTTGATCCTTTTCAGAAGTTAAAGTTAAACGACCAGAGTCACCAGACGGCACGATAGACGCTATTCAAGACTGGAGCCAATAAACAGACTTGTAAACAAACAATAACAAACAAGAAAATGCTTCGTAGAGCACAGACCTCCAAAATGAACCCTAACCTTAACCCTTCATAATGTAATAATTTGTTCCTTATTTGAGAATTGTATAAATATCTAGCAATGACTTTGTGAATTCTCTTGCAAACTTACCAAAAAAAACATAAGGAATTGCATTACCAAGTGGGTCGTATGGGACAGTAAAAATAAATTGATTTCACTTAATTATGAGGCATCAAGTTCTGGATTCATTCCTTGTAGTGGAATTGAAATGATATATGTGGAAGTATAGTGTTACCAATGTTAAAGTCTTTTTCTTTCTCCTCTTCTGTTTTGTCCTCCTCTGTTTCTGATTTGTCTTGTTCGGACGAGGAAGCCTGCTGCTCTGGTTCTTCACTTGCTTCCACCTGGTTGTGGTCTTCAACTCGGCTCTTCTTTAAATCGTCCTTCACCAGGTCGTCCTCTGTGCCACGCCTCTTGCTACTCGAGGCCCCATCACCGACATCTTCATTACTGTTTGGAGATGTTTGAAGTTGTTAAAAAAGTTGAATTAAAGTAGCAAGATGTAAGATTTTCGTGTCAAGTCATCAATAAATGACCCTAATCTTTCTAAAAGGCATTATTAAACCATGCTCGTTTCCAATACTTCTTTAACTGATAACAGTAGATCAGCGATATTCGATTTTCAAAATTACTTTTACAGCCTCTTAATCTTTCTGTGCTGATAGTGTGCAGCTACACCACAAGGGGGCACTCTAATGTGGAAACAGAGTCAAGAACGACTTGAACACATGCAAAAGCTTAAGAAAGAAGCTAACGAACCCAGATCCATTTTTATTGTTTTATCAAAACATTACACCACCCTCCATCGTTTTACCAATCAGAATGTCCGTGATTCGGGTTGCTAGAACTCCCCGCGTCAAGCTAATCTCACTGGTAAAGTATCATGTGGCCGCAGAACTACAAAAGGTCTCACAACAAAATAAGGACTGAAACCAGGATTTCTGTCCCATTGGTCAATCTTTTTTTAAGGCGGTCAAAATGTGGTCAAATTAAGATACATTTTGCCAAATTTCACCAATTTTGACTTTGTGCTGCGTATTTGAGATTCATGCAACTAAAATCTAGAACAATCTTCCTGAATATGTGAGACAGGGCTCTTCTTTTTCATGTACTGTGAATATTCATTTATTATTTAAATGCCTTGTGTGATTGTCTCTGTCTTTTTTTGAGTTGTCTTGTGAATGAATTGTGCTATACAAATAAAGTTGCCTTGCCTTCATGCCTCCAAATTCATTTCTTGATATAACCAGTAAATCAATTCTATGTTCTTTCTTCCATTTCTTTCCATTCTAGAATTATAGAAAGTAAAGCCATAATTGAGCACCTTTCTGGGGACGCCGGTGCAGTGGTGGTGCAGATCTGAGCCGGAATGTCTTCTTCAGATTTCCCATCATCCTTTGCTGCATGATCCTGCTGAGAGAGACCCTGCGTTTTCTGTTTGAGTTTCTCCTCCCCAGCCTCAGACTCAAGTGCAGACTCCTCTTCCTCTTTCTCTTTCTCTCGGCTTTTCCGTTTCTCTTCTGACGGGACGGGGGCCGGGGCGGGGGCCGCGTCTGTAGCAGTGAGGATCAACTTCTGCTCATCGTCCCGTTGGGTCTCGTTCTGCCGGTTCAGATTCTCCACATTTTCAGGTAGAACTGGTTCATTCGAGGTGGAGGAATCTGTAGGAGGAACATGCTGTCAGTCAATACAGTCTGAAGCAACGAGAGGACGAATTAGAAGAGGACTTTCTATTTGAGAATCTGCCCAAAGTGGCAAAAAACTGGAGTAAGCCAGGGCAGGAAACTCTTTGATGTATGTGAATATTGGTTAATATTTACAAATACAGTAACTGCTTATGTGTCACTGTCCAAGTCAGTGATTTTCTTTGACCAAAAGTCTATTATTATACAGTATCTAGTATAATTGTAGTAGGAATAGTAGTAGTAGTAGTAGTAGAAGTAGTAGTAGTAGTAGTAGCAGTAGTTGTTGTTGTCGTATTAATAATAGTAGTAGTAGTAGTAGTAGTAGTAGTAGTAGTAGCAGAAGTAGTAGTAGAAGTAGTGGCAGCACTAGAAGTAGCAGTAGAAATAGCACTAGCAGTAGTGGTAGTAGTAGTAGTAGAAGTAGTTGTGGTTGTAGTAGTAACAGAAGAAGTAGTAATAGCAGTAGCAGCGCCAGGCTTCATTGAGAGCCTGTGACACTTTAAGACTCTCATATATTTTTTCATAATAATTTCATAGTAATCATGGATCATAGTAGGGGTTGGGAGTTCAAAGACCGAGAGTTTAGACAACAAAAGTATCAATCAAATAAAAAAGTACCGGATCTGTCGAGGGGTTTCCTCTTCTTCTGAACTTTTGCGCCCTTCACGTTCACTTTGGCTTTGTCTTTCTCCTCTTTCGACTTGGCATCTTTTACCTTTGCAACAAAGAGAAAAAAGATTGATTACTAAACTACTGCTTTGTGAAAATTCAGTAAGTAAATATGGCATAATCATAAATGTTTTGTGGTAACATTTGGCGCAAGCGTCAGTTCTGCGATATCAGTACATTTGATACTCGGCATCCATAAATGTTCAGAAGTTACAACCATTGACTGTAATTATCAACAGTAATAGTCACACCTATCTAAGCCGCTGAAACTAATGTGCCACCACTTTTGCCTTCTGTGCCTTTACAGGTGTAACGCCGAGATACACTGCCTTGAAGAGATGCACTGCCTCAGCTGTTTATGATGTAATGCAAACCTGCGCATGCGCGTCTCACGGCAGCCAAAGCATACCAAGATGGCGGACCGTGAATTTCTTTAAAAGTTAAAATACGAACGAAATAAGACACGAATGTCACTTTTAATGCAATTTGAGGCGAGATGTTGATGGTTCCGTTTTGTCACATGTGGGTTTTAAGAGTCAAATTTATGTGCAAAGTTTAGTTTAAGCAGTCAACTGCGCCTGTGAAACCACAAAGCTAATGTTTTCATAGCAGTCCGCGGCTGCTGACGTAGGCTGATGACGCGTCTGTGGCAACTCTACACTCTTAACACTGGTCTGTCGGGTTGATAATGGAAATAATTAATATAATTTAATACATGTATCGTACTGTATTCAATATGATTAACAATAGTGTGTTCAAACGAAATATTTAATTAGATCGATTTTTTTCCCCATTTTCCATTATCAACCCGACAGACCAGTCATCAGCCTACGTCAGCAGCCGCGGACTGCTATGAAAACATTAGCTTTGTGGTTTCACAGGCGCAGTTGACTGCTTAAACTGAACTTTGCACAAAAATTTGACTCTTAAAACCCACATGTGACAAAACGGAACCATCAACATCTTGCCTCAAATTGCATTAAAAGTGACATTGGTGTCTTAATTCGCTCGTATTTTAACTTTTAAAGAAATTCACGGTCCGTCATCTTGATATGCTCCGGCTGCCGTGAGACGCGCATGCGCAGGTTTGCATTACATCATAAACAGCTGAGGCAGTGCATCTCTTCAAGGCAGTGTATCTCGGCGTTACACCGGCACTAGCCTCATTCATTTAACGAGTGCATTCAAAAGTCCACAGCGGCTAAACTAGACCGATCGAAAAAAAGAAAAATGTTCCCTTCAGGATCGACAGAATCTGGAACGTAGCTTTGGACCAAGAGCAACTTTTGGACCATCCTGTAAAGACGTTTTTAAGAGGAAAGAAGACACCATACAAAAGCATTGGGTAATTCTCTTTCCGGGTACACCCCCCCGGCCCGGAGTGAGATTGCAGCATGTCAGCGCACGTGCTCATGGAGCTTTTAAACACTGGTTTCAGCACATTCTAATCCAGAGTACATCCAGAGACCAGGATTGGACATGATGACGTTAGATTGATGCACCCCGAGTTTGTGTGGGGAATGGATTTGAAAAGAGCAAACAACTCTATTTTCGTCCATGGTGAGACGGAAAAAGTACAATGATAATGGAACCTCTGTATAACGTCAGAGGCAAGTGAAACAAAAATAGGTCCCACGCAGCACACAGCACTACAAGTTGTCAAGCATTCACAATGTGTCAAGAACAATGTTGCATATAAGGACAAGGAGCGAAATCAACACGTGTAGCCACTGGCCAAGTCTGAGCTGATAAAGACTAATGGATAAGATAAGTCCGGTCATATTTACCCCAGAACACGGTGACCAGACTGAGAAGGATCACCACTTAACATTGCAGCCTATATCTATCTGCACTAGGAAATAAAGAACTAATATACACTCAGGACAATTTGCCTCTTGAGGATAATGTATAAAGCCTACTTTATATAAATTGTGACAGACTTGACAGCAATGATTTTTAAGGTCTAGGGTCATTTTGGGGAACTTTCCTCGCCTTGTTTTCTTTGTGTATAATTGCTCATAAAAATGTAATCTTTTGATGCAGAGTCAATCAGTATACTTTGTTTTATCAGTACAACCTGGGGTTTTAGAATATTCATATTTTAGAGCTGTCATATATATTATATCAAAAATATGGAATCATGAAGACAAAGAAAAAAATGAAACGGAAAATCAATTTCACAAAAATATATTGAAAAAACACAATGAAATGCTATAAACAGCTTTTTAGACTGCATAGAAATCTTTTTTAGGGTCTTGGGGTTAATGGGGGAAAAAATTGAATCTGTAACTATTATACTTTTTGCAAAATTCCACTATAAAAGCCAAAAACGCTGTACTCCTGATGCCCTTTCTCAAGCAGTTTGCCTAAGAGGCTGAGGTGAGTCATCCTACTCTCTGACGGTCTTTGTGTGATAATTTTTTTTACCGTTTTATGGCTCACCGGGCACCGCTCGAAGATCCGATTGGGGGACTGACTTTCATACACACGTAGTTTATCCTCCGTACGTCCCACAGACAAACCGATGCTAGTTCCGGCAAGGCTGGAATGTGTACTTCCAGTCGCTACCTTTGACCGTTCGCAAGTAAATTGATCACTTGTGAAACATGCGCGCAGCCATCGTCGGCGATGGCATCGTCTTTTAAGGGTTAAAGCTCTAGTAGTAGTGGTAGTGGTGGTAGTAGTAGTAGTAGTAGTCGTAGTAGTCGTAATAGTACAATTAAGGCCCTGTCTGGAGGTGGATTCAAACATAGGACCTTCTTGCTGTGTATCACGAGTGCTAACTACTGCGCCATTGTGAAAAGGTCTGCTAAACCGCTTTGAGACTCAGATCTGCAGTGAAAAGGCGGTATATAAATAAAAACTTACTACTTACTTACTTACTCTCTTGGATACCGAATTTTCAAACCAAAACTTGAACTTGAACCTTTTGACCAAATCTTCCAATCAGATCTGTCAAGCAGAAAAGTTAACAAGCGAGAACCATCCTCACTCAGCCAATCAGCTCTCAACAAGCAAAAGAACTTTCTAATGAGATGAAGATGGATGTTGTGGTCTGATCCGTGCACAACCTTTAACTCTTACAAGACTCTTTCTGTCAAGCAAATGAGATGTGGGGTTCAACATATTACTTTGGAGATTAAAATCCTACATTATTTAGAACTTGAAACAAAAGGGCGACAGTAGCTCAGTTGGTAGAGCATTGGCCTTACGGCCAGAAGGTCATGGGTTCAATTCCCACCTCTCCACCAACTCCCACTGATGACTGCTGTCGTTGTGTCCTTGGGCAAGACACTTAACCCCACTTTGCCCAAAGCCTCCCCACTGAAAGATCAAGGCTATGCTCACATTGACAGAGCAGCCGTCCTCCTGTGGACTCACCACCTGCAGAGGGTCAGTGAGGGGCTGGTGCTATGAGACTTGGATGGCATCTCTTACTGCCACCCCCCCTGACCCAGAAATGGATTAAAGGGTAGAAAATGGATGGATGGATGGATGGATATTTAGAACTTCATCACTATGCTATGCTAACTCCAACTCATAAGGCAAACGGCAGTGGGCTCCCGTCACTCACCTTCCTCTTGCCCCCTCTCCTCGGCTGTTTAAAGAGCAGCTCCACCAGCCGGGAGCTCTTGACCACTTCCCCGATGTAGCTGATGACCTGGTGCGTCCCCTCTACAATCGTCTCCACGGTCTCCAGCCTTTGGCCCTGGCTGTCCACCCTGTCCCCAGTCCTCTCCACGGCTATGCGCAGTTCATGGTACGCCGCCTCCACCCCCGAGCTGCGGCGACTCCCAACCTTGCCCCCCTTGTCATCCCTCATCAGAGCCAAGTCCCGGCCCATTCCCTGCACGTCCTGGGACAAGTCATCAAGCCTGATCAGGACGGTTTGCTGCATGTTGAGGAGACGTTCCATCTGAGAACTTAAGGAGTCCATGCGGCTTTCCACACAGCGCAGCGGGTCATTCAAAACAGGGGATGAAGACGCAGAAGGAGCAGGGGCTTGGGGCTTGTCAGAGCTGCTAAGAGACAGCTTCCTTGCCCCAAACTTCTGCAACGGGTTTGGGTCATACACCTTTGCCAAAGAGTTTATCAAGCTGGAACTCATAGTTGCGTGAAAGCAAAATTAGGTTGATTGATGAGGTCTATTCACGCAAGCTAGACCAATTCCAAAACAAGAAGCATCTTCTTAGACCAATCCATAGGCAGTAGTCACAAAGCCCTCTCCTCCGTCATTGCAGCACAACGCTGTTTAGTTTCAAGAATAGCAAATAGCTGTCCTCCAAATGAAAGTGCAGCCCCCTGTGGACGTCAGGGTCTGAGTGGCAGTGATAAGAGCTGGGGCTCGAGTGTACAGTTGGGGATAGATGGGAGTTAGTTGGAGATGCTGGAGAGGATTGCTATGCGACATTCGAGATACTTTGAAAGCACTTCAGCAGGTGTCAGAATCCCAACAATGCCAGTCTGAAATATAACACCATCAAAACTAACACAAACACATAAAATGCAAAACCATCCTCTCTGAGACATCACGGTAGATTCTCTCTAAGAAAAAAGATATGATGAATTTGTGAAGATTCTGTTTGGCAAACTTTTGTTTTGCAGCCCAGCATGACAGGTGGGACTATATGCGAGGGCATGACCGACATAAAAAACGTTGGAGCAATGTTAAAGACATGGGGCACAGGACTCATGTCTAAACCATGTCAAATGTCAGGTCTCTCTCATAAACAAATACAAAGACATTCAAAGCATTTCACAATTGACACAGACTCCCAATACTGAGACATGTTTAGACAGAGGGGGGAAAAAGTAGCATAGAGTAATGTGATGATTAGGCAAAGGCTTTAGATCTTCCAAAGGTATAGACAGGTACAAGTGAGTGTCAACAAAAGTGGGCCGAGAATGCAACCATGTGGGACTTTAAAGAAACATTATGAGATGAAAAGTTTTTGAAGTAAACAAAGGCTCTTCCAGATTTTTCCAGAACGGTTTGTCATTAATCTCACCACCACAAGTGACAATGTGTTCCAATGTGGTTTAAAGAGAGCTGCTATTTACAGCTACATATCCAGAGCAAGTGTCGAACAGAGAACAACACTGGTGATACAAAACATCAGACCGAGAGCCAAACACTGGACTGCCATATGCCACGGGTCCAAACAAGGATGTAATCAACAGCTTTTTTCCACCGCGGATGAGTAGAAGTAGATTTTAGGTTTTAGTTTACTTGATCCCTGTATAAATACACAAGATGTCATTCATAAATGGTCCCATTTGGATTTAGCGTCACCTCCATTTCCTAATCCATTGTTTAAATTGAAGGACTAGTTAGATGGAGTTTATTACAGAGTTAACATGTGCTTGTGCTTTTGAAGAGCAAAACAGAGATAAATTAAATTAAACTGTAATTGTAATTGTAATAATTTTAATTATATTTTTTTATACCTCAGAAGTGTATGCTGATTTTTATTATGCCTTACTCTATTCTTTACCTCTCTACCTCTCTTCTTTGACTGTTGCACCAAGAGCCAGTGTTAAGATGGAGAGATGAACTTAAAAACTACTAAAGACTACAATGTCATTATTATTTTTGGTTTTGTGAGTCAGCAAGCCTCACTCACAGTCTTTATTGACACTGGTGACTGTGACTGAGACGTGTCCAGACTCATACACGTCCTGGTACAGTGGTATCTAGAGGAGGTGGGTGTTACTGCTCCAGCGCCTTTGGGCTCGAGGCAATCTGTCAGCACCGGAAAAACCTGACCCACACTATGTCCCACACTCTGACCCACACTCTGTCCCAGGGCGAGAGGCAGCTGTCACCCTGTTCGCCCACACAGGCACGAGGACAACGGCTCTAAACAACATGTTTTCTTTCAATGGCTTGGAATCTCATAATGTCTCATTTTACAGTGCACATTACAAGAACTTGATAAATGTATCTTTCTTATATCTTTAAGATACATTTTTATTGCATATGCTTAAAGCCTTATTCTCAAGGAAATCAGTGGGTGAAACAAGATTTTAAGGTATAAACTGTATGTCCATTATGTCTTTAAAATGTCATAATGAAGAACATTGTAGGAGAAGAAAAAATAAATTAGGGCTGTTGCCATATAGGGATTTCCAACCCCACATCCTACATTTTGAACAAAATATTCAAGTTGCGCTTGTGAGTAAATAATAGTATGAAACCCACCAGTGAACGACCCCTAAAGAACATCCCCAGATGCAGGATTTAGGAAAAATAATATTTGAAAAATAAATGCCTATTATAATTGTATAATTACCTTTAGCTAAATATGCATTAATACATTAAAATGGATTATAAAACATTTTAATATGTTTGTAGGAATACTGTATAAGGAGACAATCCTAAGCTATTATATTTACTCTCTGTTGGTGATAGTACGTCTAGTCTTGGTGATAGTAAGACTACAAAGTCATTTGTGATTACAAAAATGTGGATGTTGTCAGTAGCAAATAGTTTAAGATGTTCAGCCCAATTCTCTATAACCCTGGAGTGTTTATACAAGAAAATAAGTACATCAGGAACTATCCAGAGGCAAAGTGTAAGCACATTGTTCGGACCAGTCCAGTCTTTATACAGTCTATGGTCCAGTCTTTATACAGTCTAAGATCTAGCCTGGTCTTACCATACCATCGTACTAATTTCACTTTGTACTAAGATCTGGATTTGCTCCATTGACTTTGTCAACAGGTGGGAGGGGTTAACTCTTTTTACAGATTGAAACGATTAGATCTGAGTTTACTGTGACGTATGTAATGAGCCAGAGTGAGTCGTTAGCAGTTAGCATTTAGCTTAGCTTTAGCCATCTGCTTTGCTGCTAACGGAGCCCGTCGGGAGTACCGCCACAATCTTTTCCAGCAATTACATTTGCTAAACATTCCTCCTGCTCTGGCTTCAATTTCTTGATTGAACCAGGCCGGATTACTTTACTATTGCATTCTTCGCCCTTGCCAAACTACACCCAGCCCGTTCGACGCAAACTTTTGATGTCACCCACAACTAACAACAAGACCAGTCTCCCGCGCGCGCTCAACCGATTGTAATCGCAAACACAGGGACCAGACCAAGATGTTACATGCAGTGAAATGATTATTAACCGGAGAGTATGGATGGCTAAGGCCAGGCTAACTATGATCCAGTCTTTATACAGTCTATGGTCCAGTCTAGTCCTCGGGGCAGTGGGGGTTTAACTGTCCCCGGTCTCAGGGAGGTTGAGATTTAAAACCGGAGCGTCGTAATGGAGCCGTGTGAAGCCGACAGAGTTCCTCACAGATAGTTACTCAGCAGATCACACAGACAAAAATACTCTGGTCTATTGTAATCTGTTCACTGTAACAATGGTTTGAACCACACCGGCACAACGGAGGAACACAAATAGACAGAGACACATTTAAACCACAGCATCTAATACTGAAATGTGGAGCAAGAGATTAATAAAGAATGACTCCATCACTAACAAATGGTACACTGGAAAAAAAAAAAAACTTGTAAAAAATATATGAGAATAAGTAAAATACTGTTTAAAATAATAAAAATGATCTGGTAGTAGAACAAGAAAATATGACTTGACAAGATTTCTGAAAAGAAGAAAATAATACTAGCCCCAAATGTATTTATTTATAGTTTTTATTGTGGTTGGGACAGATATGTTGAACTCTCCGGATTGTAGCCTTGGACTGTGCATCCGTTGCCCCACATTCGCACTCACAAAAACACCCTCATTAATTCACCCTGAACTATTGCACATGTTCTTAGTGGTAGGGGAAACCGGAGTACCCAGAGGAAACCTGCACAGACACGGGGAGAACATGCAAACTTCACTTAGAAAGGCCCTGTTCTGACCGGGATTCGAACCCAGAACCTTCTTGCTGAGAAACGAGAGTGCTATCCACTCAGCCACCGTGACCAAATGATTAATTCCGATCTTAAAACATACATTACATAGTATTATTTACTTATTTCTTATAATATTGCATCACAAACTTATTTTATCTAACAAGAAAAGTTGTTTGGAAATAAGAAAAAATTGTTAAAACAAGATTTAAAAAAAAATAAACTCACCTCAGTAAAACCTGCCATTAAAAAATAAGCGTAATGTCATTCTTATTCTTTTCAGTGATGCACTCTCGCTGGGTTCGAATCCCAGTCGGATGTTCTCCCCGTGTCCATGTAAGTTTCCTCCGGGTGCTCCAGTTTCCCCTACCACTAAAAACATGACAATAGGTCTGGCACGTGCCTCCTGTACTGGTGACCCCACTCTCCCAATTTTAAACCGCTTTGTGATTCTAATCTGTGAAAGGCGCTAAATAAATAAAACGTACTTACTTACTACTGCAGTGTATTTTAATAATTGTGAATTTAGTGAAATAATAATACAGAAAAAAATACATAATGCAAAACAATAAAGTGCTTTGTGACCTGGTGTTTGAAAAGTGATAATAATAAGAAAGACAGTAACATTATAAGGAATACATTTGGCCGTTGTTGCCTCATGACAGTTGCCAATAGTCATGTTAAACGGTGTATAAATGTACCGTCTGCATGTTCTGGGCAGCGACAGAGAAGAGCCCCGGATCCAGGGCTTCCCCCGAAATGGCATCTGAGTCTGTAAAGGAGACACCATACCATCCCGATGACCGCCTCATGCCAACGCACAAAGCTCAAACATGTCCGACTGTGACTATAGAACCAATGTTAAAAATACATCCACACAGACAATAAAACAGAAGCAGTCTGGGAGTGCGGGGTGAGAGGGTTTACAGTATTTTTATTATCAATCATTCCAAACCAGAGTCGGGAAAAAGTCTAGACGTGATTCAATGTATGTGGTATTTTCCCCAGGATGGAAACATATCTACCAATTCATTTCATTTACTGCAGAAAATGATCAAATATAAAGTATGCAAATATATTTTTACAGATTTTCCGTTGGGACAAGGCAGGCAAATATTAGGTATTTCAGAGGCTATAGAAATCAGAATTTATCGCATTGAGAAAACTTTTAGTCCCTTCTCTACCGATGTGTTGAGTAGATGGTGTTGATGGGTGGCTTGGGTGTGTTCGGCGTTATCACC